TTTTCTCCATCAATATAACTACTCCCGAGAATGAAATAAACACTGTGCACGCTTACAGTCTTCAACATAAATCCTCATAAAAAAATAATCACGTATGCCTTATTATGAGTAACATTATATTATTATTATTAGTAGTAGTGATGTGCAAAATATCTAATGCCCTACTGATGCAAAATTTGAAACTAGTATTTTATCATTTGATTTTTTTTTTTTATTAATCATTTATTATACAATATAAAAAATATAATATAATAATTAATAAACAATTTGATTTATTTAACTTCTGTAAGCAAAGCTTGTGTTGAAGGGTTATTGGTTAAACTATACAAATTATTTTATCACTTATATCACTATTTTATTCATTATATAATTGTCACGCAGTAATGCCAGTAATGGTTTATTCACTGTTAGCTCTTACGGTATATTAGACTGGTTTATTCAAGACTATTTTTGAGTGATTAGCACCACTCATATAGTTCATCGAAAATATTCTTGTTCGGTTTGCTGTGAAAATTCACATCCACATGACCATACGTCATGTTTAAGCGAAACTAGTTTTATTTGGTCTATTTGTTTATAATAGCATTTATTTCGATTTAACAGTAATCTGTTTTGCATACTACAAATTATGCATTAATTTATACCGTCTTTAACAAAACGTTTATCTTTATGTTTAATATCTTAATATGCTTTAAATGTACATAGGTTGAGTTTTGCCGAATTAAATACCCTCCTCCCAGACATCATTGTTATTTTGACGCCTCGTGACAAAGTTATCAACGTTTTAATTAATATTTTGGAAACCTTCAAAATTAAAACAGAAACAAGGTGCTTGTAAAAATGAACGTTTATTTTTCAAGTTTTTTCAAGGAAAATTGTCATTATTTTAAATAATTTAATAAAAATGCTTAGAAAATTTGAAATGTTTAAAAACAATTTAATTGTGTTATTTATTTCTCTAATCTGGCTATGAGATATGTGTACAGTGTACTGTGCATCTAAATCTAAAATATCTATGAACAAATTAATAGAATTGTCTTAATTCTTCCTTACTACCTCAGTAAATTATGAAATCGAATAAATTTCGTAAATATCCATGTTATAGGCATGCACAGACTTCAATTTCCGGTCGAGCTTGAAACAATTATTAATGTCCCAATACGTGAATAGTGTCCTTATTTTTATTTTTTTAACATATTAATGTACATTCTAATTGTAAATTAAAAACTGTGTAAATAGAATCAAGTTATATGTGCATACAACATTAATGTGCTAATTTTTAGACATATATTTTAAAAATAAAATTATATAAATACAATTAGGTATGCATAAAAAGAAGAAAACACAATACCCAAAATTTAAGATAACTTGGCTTAATGAACAAAAAGTTGTATATAGTATTATGTACTAATTTTAATTAAAGAATTATAAATTAATTCTCTTATTTCCTATACTTTTGAATTCGTCAATGATCACGTCAATACTAATACTAAATGTTAATTTTGGTTCAGCAAACATTGATAATAAACTTGATGTATAGTACTCATTAAGTTATTTTTTACTATTGGGAATTTAGAAAATACCCGTTCGCAGGAACAACTTGTATCTGGTATTACACTGAATAATTTCAGTGCAGTGAAAACCATTAAATGATCTTATGTAATTATTTGCTTTCATATAATCTAGCCACGGATGTATTGATTCATTATTAGTATTAGTATTTGGTTGAAATGTTATAATGCCCTTAAAAAGATTTCGGTCGAGACGGGGCTCAATTGACTCGCCCCATGCTCACGTCTGTGGCCCATGTACTCTTGACGCTGCATCTTGTTTATACGACGGATGTACTGAATACGCTACACAAACGGTGCTAATAGTGCCTGTATTAAATTTCATATTATAATGTCACATTATTATTTATTTTATTGGTTTATGTTATTAATATGTACACGTAAATTACTAAAACAAACAAACATAATACGTTTCCCTGTAACAGCTGCAACAAACATTTAAAAAAAAAAGTAAAAACTTGTATAGAAATGACCTCATCCGGTTCTCCCATACCAGAATGACTTCATGTTTCACATATAGCGCACACTATCATTGCCTGCCGGCCAGTCTTGTCCCATCGTATTCATAGTGTATAATATTATATTAATAGGTATTATTTATTTTAGGTTGGGTTATTGGTAAATTAGATATTTTATAATACAAGATTTCTTTGTTATAATTATAATAGTTGTATTATTATAATAATGTGTTGCACACAGTGGGTCAGTTGTAGTGTGTTATCATCACTAAGCTACAGTACGATCTCAAAAACAATAAATATTTATATAATACGTTTAATAACGTTGTATTATTTTTATGTAGGTACTTACTGTACTTGAACAAAAGTTGATAACGATTATTGAGTTTCGAATCGTTAAGTTAAGTTACTGCAATATTGAAACATCATCAACAGCCTACATCCATAAAATTATAAACTAATAAATAACAACTATACTACAATACATACTTATATTTATTTACAAATAGATACAACATTTCTTTTTTATTTAGTGGTGAGAAGCAGGTATATTTAAAACCATATTGAAGAATTCAATCGGTTGGAGTAAAACATAATTACTTTTAATAAATAGTTTAAAAAAAAACAATAACAACAAATAATTACGAGTATATAGGACAAAACTGAAATTCAAATATTTTACAATATCATAATGTTATCCAGTGTCGGTCTGGCCCACTCAGCTACTTGTAATTGCCCGAGACCCAAGAATATTTTACATAGAAGGCCTATAGCCAAATGAAAAAATGTGTATTTAAACCACTTATGAATTGTGACTCGGGTTCCAATCTAATCAGTTTGTAAACATTGAATATTGTAATGATTAAAGTCTAGTTAATTCAACAAACTATAACAACATGACATTCAAATAGGTACGTTCTTGTATTTCGCCGTGCTCAAAAGCAAGATGTAGAATAAAACTTGGTGACCATCAAGTCTATAATGGGCAGCCCTCCTTAAACCATAACGTTCAATTATTAAATATTGATGCTACGAATTTTTTTTGTATTTTCAATTTATTTTTATGTAATAATAAGTTCTGTGCCCCCTCCTCCCCAACTTGGACATACCTATGATGGGCTCCACGCATGATAGTGGTATTTACTTATATCACTGTACACAAGTTAAATACTATGATGAAATTATTAATATGTTTAAATTTATGAAGAATGAATTATAAAATCAAATCTATTTTAATAATAATTTATAGTTTCTTTAATTACTGTTTTTTATTATACTTAACTATCTCTTTTAATTTTTTATAACATATGGAATATTTTTTTTTCTATTTTATGTGTATAATATAGTAAATGAAGTAAATATGTAAAACATTATTGATTATAATAAAAAAAGGTTTTAAAGTAAATACCTACCTAATAATTTTTTTTTTTAATAAAAATTCAATTATTTTATTACAATGTATTAAAACGCAGTTAAATTTTTTTAAAGTTTATACGAGACGTTGGAGTCCATTGAAAATCACTGGGTCAGGGACCTAATCATTAGTTAAATCGAATTTTATGTTATCACTTGTTATTATTTTACCGGTTATTTCAAATGGTACTTAGAGTATTTTTTGATAATATTGTCATCATAATATATTGAGCAATGGACTGAATGGACCAACACGCCGAGCTCATGACTTATTCAATTTATTATTTAATAATTTATTTTTATACCTATAGGTAAATAAATAGTTACATAAATTTAAAAAATATAAGTAAAAATAATAAAAATTATATTTATATTTATCTACTACAGGTTGATAGCAACGAATGATATAATACAATTATACAAAGAAATATTAAACAATAGTATATTATTTATCGGCCGAATATGCGCGATTTACAAGTTTACAACACATTTCAATCTACATATTTTTACTTAGATTCTAGACATTTATAATAAATTAAGAATGTATAAAACTAAAATAGTAGACTGATAAATTAGGTACCTATAGAATAGATTGATATGATGCGGTCACATTATGAATTGAAAGGAAAAGATAGATATACATAAAATTCAGAATGAATGATGAACACGAGAAAAGCTGGTGTTAATCAAGGAGATGTGGGGAGATAGAACCCTGTAGAAGAGTAAGAAAAGTGTAGCTGATTCCTATAGCTGGGAGAGAACTAGAGTAAGGTGAAGAATGTTAAAAAATGTTTATTATAGCAATGCATATAATAATATCTATTATTATAAGCATTACTATTACATTACTCCTTCTCTAAATGATAAGTTACCTAAAAATAAGCGTCAGTGATAATTTAGATAATTATATAATATTTAATATAAAATAAATAATATAAATATTTATGTGGCATACATTCAAATGAATACACCTTCTCACCCAGATCTTCGTTCTGGATCCGTCCCTGGTTTCGCTACTTGGTTGTGTTAAAAATCTGTAACCATACGTCTATATAGACCATGCCATAAAAGGTCACCTGAAACTAAGCCAAACTAACAGTAACAGTTTTTTTTATTTTTGGAGCCCTTAGATAGTAATTTATACACTGTCACTTGTTCTGTTAAGGAAACACAAGTATACACAACGCATATAGTCACGTTACTAATATAGTCATAAACACACTCACACACAATTACTATAAATATATATTATAGATTTAATAGTTTCTACACAAACACGGTGGAAAAACAACTATTATTGATAAATAGTTTTAATTTTATACTAATCTTGGGCATGAACATGCGATCATTGGTTTTTATATACATGCACACCTAACCTACCTACTTCATATTGCTATAATTGCTCATTACACAAGTTCTATAAAAATATATTATTACTCATTTACTCCTTCGTAAAGCGAACCATGATAATATTGTTGTACAATATACGGTCATAATATATATATTAATATTCCCTATATTTATGCATCAAAATTTACTGACTAATAATCATTTTCAGGACACTTAAAACTGCGGTGACAAAACAATAATATATAAGTGCCTAATGCCCATAAAATCTACAATATTCATAAACCACTAGGATCACGTATGTCGAACCGAATCGGGTAAGTAAATGTTTTATAACAAACAATATTATGCAATACCTACACAGTATTATATTTTTTTTAACGATAACCAAATGCATCTGAGTTGGCGAAGAATTCAGAGTTGTCAAAACGTACTACCGATGGTTGTCTTGGAAACTGGATTATACGTGTATTATTTATTGTAATTTATCCCTTCAAAAAATATATTATACACATTTATTTCAATCATTGACATTAAATTTACAGTCAGTTGATCAAACAGTAAAAAAGTTGAGGTTCAAAAACTGCCACCCAAAAGGATAGATTATAATAGTCGACCAATATTTGCGTATAATACAGGTATACATTATATATAGTAACAATTTTGAGCTTAGGTTCTACTATCCATCTGGCATGACATGATATTAATATATTTAGTAATTACTTGGCGTTATTTTAATGGTCGGACATGGTTGTTCGTACAGTGTAACAATTTAGCGGTCATCGACTAGCGAGCGCGTGTGCATACGTATGCATCATATAATCTTCCCCTCCTCCCAATCTTTATAAAATAAAATAAAAACGGAAATTTTACGATGCACGTTTATTATTGCGTTTCCACGTGCAGCGCGTAAAATGCGGTCGTTTGCGCCGCTCTCTCTATATGCTCTATCAGTGCAGCGTCTCAATTGTTTCTCGCAAATTATACAGGTTTTGTGGTAGGCCCGCAATAAAATACGACAACAGTATACACGCACGTGTAATATCATTTTAACAACAATCATCTAAAATGTTTTACCTACGCAATCAAGAATCGAAGTACGATTTATCGTGCACGGTGCACCTACCTCCTAACCTCCCACACTTCTCGGCCATCTGGAATATAACATATTTAGTGGCGTATTGAACAAGTTTTTGCAAACGAGAATAAAACTAACTTAACCCACCTCAACATTTAAGTCTTAACCTAGAGTATTTATTATTATGAACTATTTTAATTGATTATTATAACCTTCGGAGATGGGAATTCGGAGTAAAATTCGAATTGCAATGGCATTCATGTATATCAGAAAAAAATTAATATATTCAAAGCACTTATCTATTACTTGTAAATGTATTGAACATAAATCTTATTTATACATATGTCGAAGAGCTTTATACAGCAACACAATATTTCACTGTATACTTTTTAACCATATTATGCAGTGACGCAGTGTACTCAGTAAGTGTACAGTTTTTGTCACTAAACTTTTTGGAACGTACAAATCGAAAGCGTGTGTGATTTTCGGACGATGATAAATTTGCACTGTGAGAAACAAATGAGAGATATCTCATCCTGCGTGCAGTGGAGATGGGATGACACATTGACACGGCATACACGTGTGTCGTACCTATTATTATAGTACCTACATACATATCATGTCCCTGTATACATACGTATACGTGCGTGTACGATAACCTAATCGACGCCATGAGATCGTTCCGTCGCAAACAACGCGTCTTAGCGCATACTGCTGTTTTTTTTACGACCGCGTAAAAAAAACACGCGTGCGCGTATATTCTACATATTATTATATATAATGTGTACCAACTCTCGACTTTACCGCCCCTGAGAAAAAAAACAAACAGGTATTCCCACGGCCGCGCGTAGGTATTATATTATATTATAGTATATAATATGTTGTACCTACTGCTCTGTTACATACACGGATAGCTATCGTGTGTATTTATAATATTATACAAATATATTATACACCAATAATACTTAATACGATAATATATATTATTATTATTATTATTATTATTATTGTCATATATTTATTTACGAACAAATCGATTGACGTGTTTGGTACCGAACCGAAATCCAATCTCTCTCTTGTGCGTGTGTGTGTTTATTATGATGTAGTTAATGGTTGGTATGGATAGCGTGATGTTTACTCTTCGCGAATAACAGGAAAACTCCGCGGCGTTCGTAGCAGTAGAGGTTATGGGCTTCGTCGAATATTTTAATAATTTTTGTACGCGTGGGGAAAACGAATTTGGCAAAATCATAATATACATACCAAGTAATTTATTCAAATTTTATGTATAATTTTATGTTTGTGTGTGTTTATTCTACTATTATGTACGCATGCAGTGTATTATAAAACAAATATTTATACACATACTTGTAATTCGTTGAAAACTCAATAGACGCGTTTCCGAGAAGTAGCCTAACGCTCTTCTAAAAGTTTATACTCGATTCATAGGAATTAACAATTGAATTCCCGCCAAAAACATGGTAGCGCGTCGAATTTTGAGAAAAAATATCATTATCGTTAGACACAGCAATCGGATTAACCGAGAAAAACCTTACTTAAAAATAATAACATATCGCCCTGGATATTTTATGAAAATTTTGTTACGAGCACGCCCGCGGTACCAGTACAGTGTATAGTTCACATTTGCTAGAAAAGTGTTTTGGTGGGAAATTTTAAACCTGTACGTATAAAAAAGCTAGTTGACTTTATTTTCAAACAGTGAAGTTAGATGTCCATTGAGAGTATGTCGTCATACTAACAATTATTGTCATATTTTATACTGATACATTTTTTTTCACTCGCATTCCATTCGTCGAGATATCATAAATAGACACTTGTAATCAAGTTTTCCAATAAATACGTAGAAATACTGTCAATTCTTCTTCGTCCATGTATAAATAAACAAAAGATGATACATCAATAATTGCGTTAGTAATATAAAATTTTCGTAAAAGTTCCTTGAAAATTGTGTAGTTTCTGAAAACATGGATGGATACTGGTTTGGAAATTCGGGTTCGACGGCCTTGCCGAAAAACACAGCATCACAATTCACCGCGTACACCGAAATACTAATAATAATTTTGTCAGAGCTAACTATCTATGGACAAGAATGCACTGCGTGTTATCGTGAATTTACAATGATTCAACGGTGAAAACATTACGCCAAAAGTTCGACGTGTCATACTAATAATAACACGTACGACGACCGAGTGTCGTCTACAATACGTATCATCTGTGATCGAAATAGAATGATTCTCAGAAAATATCGTATCCAGAAACGTGTGGCGTAGTTTAATGTTTGGGTTCGATGGACATACCGAACGCGGGAAAATACATAACGGCACAATTTCGGATGGTACGGTTACAACGACGCAGATTTCGTCTGCAAAGTTTGGCGCGCGAATGATTTCAACAGTTATTCCTGGTGGAAGGTAATCCGGTTTGCAGGGTTTTTTCCATTTCCGTTTATACGGCGGTGCGAGTCGTGGGATATCCAATATCCACTTTACTATTTATACCTGTAGTCGGCCGTATTTAGTACGCAATGTTACACACGATAATTTATTACACGATAAAAATATCATAAATTATTATTATGGCTGTGTGCGATATTCTAGTGACGCGCGGCGCCGCCGACGACCGTTTCGTAATAATAATAACAATTCGAAATTTTGAATGACTCCGTGCACGTGGTAAGTATGTATATATTTATAGGGAAGGTGTATACATGGTCATACGCGCTATACACACGCGACGTCGAGTGTAGTATTTAACCGCCACGCCGCCGTCGTCGCGTATACTATGTAATACCGTCCCAGACGGCGCCCCTTCCCCCCGTCGGTGGCGGCACACCTCCACCGTCACCTCCGCTCCTGTCGGCTGCTGCTGCTGCACGTGGCGTAGCCGTACGACCGGGGGAAAGGTTCAGTGAACTCTTGTCTGGCGGCGGCGTTCGTTCCGCTCGGTCGTCCCCTCGTGTCGTCGTCGTCGTCGTCGTCGGGCGCTGCTCGTCAGCCCTCAGCCCGCCGCGCCGAGCCGTGTGTAACGTACGAACGTACGCACGTCGGCTGCGTGTTTGCCGCCAAAACGCGCGCCGCGGTAAGGGTGAAAAGGGCGCGGTCGTACCCGGGTCAGTTTTGTATGATACCGTCGCGCAGACACACCCCGGTGGCGGCGGCGGCGGCGACGACGGCGGCTCGGTCGGTGAAAAATCAATACGCGTGGCAAAACCGTTTGTGCAATAATACATACATATATATATATATCGTACATGTGTATATATATAGGCCTGCATAGTACAACAATAATATACCTACACGATGGGCTGCGAGTTCGGCGGCTAGGGGGGTGTTGATGAGTTGGGGCGGAGGAGCGTAGCCGAGACGCGGTGTGTAACCGTGACCGAGGTATAGATAGTGTCGTGCCGTCTCCTCGCTCGAATATGTATGTATATTGTAATATCGTATAGGTTTCCCGCGCTCGAATATGTATATATTGTAATATTATTATATAGGTTTCCCGTTCGAGTTTTATTATTTCCCCTCCAACTGCGCGGGGCACCACGGTTCACCGGCGATGATTATCCGACGACATAAATCCGTTTACTGGCATCAACAATAATAATAATAAACAAAAATACCATCGTCCGTCTATATATACACGGCGAGACGACTACAATAATATGATTCAGAATTTATATTTTACTCGTCTTAATGATATTACGATACGTGTTGACTTTTTTAACAAGTTTTTTTTCGGATCGAAGGAATTTCGACGATATGTTAGTTTTAACATCTTACATTTTTTATACCTATGCTACAAGTATTATTATTTGCTCTCCTGATATTGTTTTTGTATTAAATAATATATTACAACGCGTGTAACGGCATATTTTGGTACCTATATCCCAACAACCTTATACATAAGCGTAGGTAGTACTTGTATAGAAGGTATTTGTATTGAATACTTAATACAAGTTTAATTTTATATAGGCTGAACTTAGTAGTTGAGTATAGCGCGTGTGTGTATATTTTAATAATAAAATATTATATTATATTAAAATATTATCACTGCCGTATGCGCACCTATTTTGCCACCGTTGTCCATGTGTTTAAAATTATGCCATTATCGGCTTCGAAGAATCCAATTATCCGTCAATTTAATATTTTAATGTATGTGATTAAAGTTGTTTTTACTCGTAAACAACCTTGCATCGCGAACTGTGCGTAAATTGTTTTG